TTCTCCCTCTCCCTTTGCCCCTCCCCTGCTTATGCGTGCTCTCTCTCTCTCCCATATAAATAAATAAAATCTTAAAAAAAAAAAGGCAATATAGTCACACAGTTCTTAAAAAATTCAGAGTTCAAAGGAGTATTCAGTGAAGCCAGTTCCTCCTCCTACCTCTGGGCACCTTCCAGACACTGGTGGGGCCAGCATGCAGCCCAGAGCTGCCGGGGGCCAGGGGGGCCAGGAAGCCCCCCACGGGTCTCCAGTGGAGGGGAGCTCCCCCCACCAAAGAAGGCAGTCAGCCCAGACCTAGATTGGAGGAGGGGCCTGTCCCCTCCCCCTCTCTCCTCCCCTGTCTCTTTCTCCCCCAGCTCTGCCCTGCAGTCTTTTAATCAACTCTTTCCTTAATGGCCGCAGCATTTTCATCCCAACCAAAACACCATACTGTACAGCCAGTTATTAGCCCTTCCCTCTTCCGGAGCCCGGCTTGGGGGGACATAATTAGGAAATCAGTAGTCTTGGACCGTCTGAGCCCACACCTTACCCCCTCTGAGAGTTCCCAAGTGACGACCACAATGCAGAGAAAGAGGAAGAGGTGAGGCCTGGAATTGTCCAGAAAACAAACAGTGAGGTCTCCCCGCCCCCCAGGCCTGCAGAGCATCCGAGGAACTATTCTGAGCTATGAAAACACGGCAGGGCTCTGCTAGGAAGTAAACAGCCGTCTGTCCCGCCAACGCCTCTCCCTGGACACAGATGCTGACAGTGCCCGATCTCTGGCCAACAGGCAGGAGACAGAGGGAGAAAGGCAGGGAGAGTCCTGCGTGCCTCCCTCCTCTAGGGTGAAAAGGAAAGACAGTGTTTGCCCTATTTTTAGGATTTTAAAGATTTCCTTCACTTTAGTAGGGCTGAAGTGGAAGGAGGGTGGCACTGGAGTCCCGGAGGTCAAGGGGATCTCTCCAACCTTGAATTCCAGAAGGCAGGAAGCCTGCTGCTCCCTCCTCAGCCCTGTGCAACCTCAGCCTCTGCTCTACTGGGGACTCACCATGACCTTCTCACTGTCAGCTCTGCTGGTTGGTCTTTTCTCATCCTTCTTCTTCCTTGATCTTTTGGCCACATCTGACATTTCTGACAGCTGTCTTGAAGCGTTCACGCTCTTTGTGCTCCAGCAAGCTCTCCTTTCCTTTCTCCTCTTCCTCCTCCCACAGCATGACACCACTTGGATGTCCCACACATTCCCCAGATCCACGAGTTCCTTCCAGACCTGTTCCTCCTCCGGACTTTCTTGCTTTGCGTACACCTCTCTTCTTCTGCCATCCTCCAGGCACTGAGCCTGGCACTTTGAGTCATCCTTGATGCCGCCTCATTGGGTTCTGACCATATATTTTCTACTCTTGCTTCTCCTTGTCAATCTCTCTGCTTAGACCTGCTGGTCACTCCCTTACCTAATTATCTCCTACTCCCCTTCTCGCTGCCAGCCCAAGCGATCCAATATACTACTGGCAAAAGAGCCTTCTTACAATACAGCTCTTCTCACTTGTCACCTGGAAAATATCCAGTGGCTCCCCATTGCCTCCAGCGTGAAGTTCAAATTCAAGCTTACTCACAATCAGACCCCAGGTTATCTTTCTAGTCTCATGTTTCCAATCTCTCCTTCATGGACCCCCTCACTCTAGTTTTATACTAGATGGGTTTGGATTTCCCAGATGCATCTTGGTTTTCCTAAATTTGCTCTTCCCTCCACCTGGAATACAATTTTCCCCAACCCCACGTGTCCAGATTCTAACCATGTTCAAGGGCAAGCTAATAAAGCCTTCCCAACCCACTAATGCTCACCCTTCCTCAGCTATAAAGGATCACACTGACCTGAACTCCCCTAGCACTTCACTGTTCCTAACTTGGGGGCACTTCTCATGTTCAAACCTTGCATTACAGTTACTTTGCTTATGTCTCAACCCTTTCCCTGCTACCCTGGGCCCTGAGGGCCATGAAAACTTCCCTTCCAGCCTTCAGAACTGGGTTCTGTGTATATGTCTAGTACCAGCATGGTGGCCTGTGTAAATGGCTGTGATAGTTCTTCTCATCATGGCCACCTGTCCTTTTGCATTGTGACTTTGCCTGTCTTCTTATCAACATGTGAAGTTTACATCTCCATTCTTTGAATCTGGGCTTGATCTTCTGCCTTGGCCAGTGGGACATTAGCAAATGTGACGCAAGCAGAGGCTTGGAAAGCATTCGCTCACTAGGGCGTATCCGTTTGGGGCTGCAATTGGAATCCTGGGCCCCAAAGGGGAAAAGTCAAGGCTGGTCTGCTGAGACTCGCTGCTGTAACATGTGAACTGACAGCCAGTCCCAGCCACCAGACATGTGAGTGACACCAAATTAGACCATCCAGCTCCAGTGTATCTGCCAGAGATCTGTGGTTGGGTGAGTGATCCCGGCTGACTCCAGCAGAAGAAGTTCCCATCTGAGCCCAGCCCAGATAGCTGACCTATGGAATAAAGAACAAATAAAAACAGTTTGTTGTTTTAAGTCATTAAATTTCAGGGTGGTTTGTTATGCAGTAACAGAAACACCCAGCAGATGCTGGTTAATAAACTATTAAATACTAGCTAGTATTCATTGAGCATTTACTATATGTCAAGAACTGGTTCTGGAAAATTACACCGATTAACTCATTGAATCCTCATAAAAATTCCAAGGTAGATTTTATTACTGTCCCCATTTTACTGGTGTGGAAAATGAGCTACAGAGAAGTTAAGTAAGTTGCCCAGCGGTGACATTTGCCAGACCCAAATGTCAGCAATCTGGTTCTAGAAGCCACACCATGAACCATATACCATGTTGTGGAATGAGTGAACTCACTGAGGATGTTGCCTCACAAACACCATTTCCCACAGGCATGCCAAATTCTACAGCATTTGTGGGTCCACAGCTCAGCTTCTGCCTCTAACCCTCCCACTCCGTGCTTCTTTGGGTCTATCCCAGGCTCTGGGCCTTTCCTGTTTCAGGAAAAGCCCAGCGTGGGGAACTGATTGACAGATCTGCCAATGTCCACCTACTCAGAAACCTTCTGTGCCATCTCCCCCGCCTTCCTGTGACCTTTGCTGGGTAATGGTTCCAGCAATGCAGGTCTCATCTGGAGAGGGAATGCTCAGGCTCAGCGTGTCGGTGTCGCCCTTTGGCCCCATGTCCTGGTTTAGCCTGTACAGTCAGGGTGATTTTTCACTTGGAAACTTTGGGCTTTCTTAGACCTTCTTTTTTGAGGTAGTCAAAAAGGAAAAACTGGATATGAAATGGCTTTTTACAAAACTGAGAATTACTTGAATATAACAATAGTTACTGTTTTTTCAGATTTCAACAAAGATGTATTTAAGCACCAATAATGGACATGACACCATGCTAGGCACCAGGCCAGGGAGGCCAACAGGACATGGGTTTTGCCCCTGAGAGCTCAGTCTCTCAGATGGGGAGTGAAGGGAGGATACGTGGAGATGATGAACTGGGAATCAGTGAATGAACCTCTTTTGTAGGGTTCTGTCCAAAGTACCAAGGGAACAGGGAGAACAAAGCAACTAGGTTTGCTCAGGGGGTGCTATTTGAGGATGAGTAAATGGAGGAAGGAGGAGGAAGGGGGAAGAGGAAGGAACCAGAGGAAGGAAGCAGGGGAGTGCAGAGACGTGAGTGGCTGGGAATGGACTGGGGAAAGACACATGGTTGGGGCATCTGGAGTGTGGGACATCAGGATGGCAGGGGCTGCTGAAACCAGTTTGTGAATGATCTCATATGTCTACTCTCTAGTAAGGAGCTCTGAAGATGTATTTACACTTTTATTTTTTTAGAGAGAGAGCAGATGCGTGCGAGCCGTGCTGGAGGGGCAGAGGGAGAGGGAGAATCTTAAGCAGGCTTAGGATTTCACCCAGTGCGGAGCCTGATGTGGGGCTCGATCTCATGACCCTGAGATCATGACCTGAGCTGAAAACAAGAGTCGGATGCTTAACCGACTGAGCCACCCAGCTGCCCCCAAGGAGTTCTGAATATTTATAAGGATCAGTTGGCCAAGGAAAAACTGTAGGAAGAGAAGGGAAGGAAGGTGAGGATTTGCTCGCAGTGAGTTTCTGCTCTGGAAGTTAGATGTGAAATCCAGGCAAGGCTGGGTGGGTTGTGACAGGAGAGTCTGGCTGATGTCTCCAGGACACCCCATGATGGTTTCTTGGTGAATTCACCACAGTCCAGGGGAGGGACATAAATCAGAAACCAGATTCATCAGATCACCAAGGGAGATCATCTTTCAGGGAAGATCTAAATTTATCAAAGTAACACCTGCAGGCTAATCTTCATTTACAGTAACTGTCAAAGCCAAAGCAATTTTTATCAAGATACCAATTAATTCATTCCCACAAGAGATATAATTGACTTGCCCATTTTCTTCCCATGACCAAGGTGTGGTGGGAAGCTGGCCCAAGAAGCTGTGAATCAGAATCAGCAGTTGGTCATGAGCTAGGTTTGACAGTGTCTCGTGCCTCCATCCAAGCGTCTAGTGTGCCTCCAGGGCTAGACATGCCCAGCCTTGGGCCGGGTCCTCTGTTCTAGACATGGTCAGATTGTCCTGCTGGGACAGACTCTGTAATGCCCCTTTTCTGTGCCTTCTGATGAACACATTACTTCTATATCTTAGACACATTCTTTGTAGATCTTTATATATCAAGCCTCCTCTGGCCAGCTTGGAACTGAACTGCTGTCCCAGGGTTTTCACAACCTTGGATACATGTTAGAATCACCAGGGGGAGATTTAAAACCTGCAAATATCTGAGCCTCACCCCCAGAGATTCTGATGTGATTGGTCTGAGGTACAGCCTGGGCAGGTGGAGTTTCACAAGCTCCACCAATGATTTAATGCGCAGTCAAGGTCGAGAGCCTTTGCTTTAAGGCAACTGTGCATATTTCTGCTCTGGTCCATTGCGTGTGGATTTTGCTCTTAGAGGGTCACTTACCAGGGATCAGGTGTCAAGTTCAACAATGCTTCTCAAGCATCACCTTGTTGAATTCTTTAACCAGGCCTGCCAGGCAATGAGGAAGAGCAGTGGGATGGGAGAAAGCAGTCAGATATAATACCACCAAGACTTGGGTTCAAGCCCAGCCTCCTGCTTACTAGCCAGATGACTTGGGGCAAGTTACCTAATCCCTCTGAATCTTAGTTTTCTCATCTGTAAAATGGGAATGATAATAATATCTGCTTCTCAAGGTTGTTGTGAGGCAACAGATAGAAATTAGCTCACCATCGTAGTCTCCACCATACTGGCTCCATTTCAGTGGGAGAAGCAGGAAAAACTGAGACATCACGCTCCTTGAGGGGCCTTAAGAAAGGGGGAGTCCCCCCATCATATTCTGGCCCACAGACATAAGGTCAAGGAGTATGAGGAACATGCCATAGGCAGGTGTCTAGGATAAAAGCCTTATAATTGATTTCCCTTCACAGAGTCCAGATGTGGGGAGGAAGAAGAATTCTACGGAAACTGCAGATACCTGCCTGCAGAGCCTGAGTAGAGCAAACATGGGCAACCATTGGCCATGGGCCACATTTTGGAGTGGGGACACGAAGCAGGTGCACTAAGAGGCCAGCTCACATGGATAGTGTGTGTGTGTGTGTGTGTGTGTGTGTGTGTGGTAGTCGCAGTCCTTTCAGTGGGGTCTGTAGGTCCAACAGTCCCCGGAGGGCCCACATCACCAGAGTTCTTTCCCACTCACCAGCTTCTCCCCACAATTTTGCTACTCTGACCCTTTGGGCTACATTCCTCAGGGTCTGGTTGCTCTTTTCCTTGTGGCTGGAAGGGTGTGTTCCCAGGAAGGCCTTCCAACAAGGCTGCCTCAGGGCTTTTCCTGAGAGTTCCCTGTGCACCCACTCCTTTGGGGTGGCTCAGATTGTCCCCTCTGACCCCACTGGGGAGCCCCATCGCACCCTCATCGGTTAGCCGGTGAGCCACAGTAGCAGAGCCCCTCAGGCAGACCTCAGCCTGGGGGCACAGGCCCCCTCTCCCCATCCTTGCAAGTGGAGAAGCAGAGCTGGAACTGCCAAGAGAAGCATCATCCTTCGTTCCTCCCCCAGCATTTGCTTGGTGGTGGGTGGGAGGCAAGATGAGAGCATCTATACCCATCAAGGTTCAAAAAAAAATTTTTTTAAAGACGTTATTTATTTATTTGACAGAGACAGACATAGCCAGAGAGGGAACACAAGCAGGCGGAGAGGGAGAGGGAGATGCAGGCTTCCCGCTGAGCAGGGAGCCTGATGCGGGGCTCGGTCCCAGGACCCTGGGATCATGACCTGAGCCGAAGGCAGACACTTAATGACTGAGCCACCCAGGCGCCCCAAGGGAGGCAAGATGAGAGCATCTATACCCATCAAGGTTCAAATTTTTTTACACAAGAAAACACAAGAAAGTAAAAAGAGAATATTTATCTGGGCTGAGAGGATAAAGAGACACTAAATCACTGAGCCTAGAAACAAAATGGAAAGAAGCATCAGCTTAACTGTCTTAACCAGCTCTGCCTTCACCCCTTCTCCATCTGAGAGTTTTTCACCATATCCTGCTGCTATTCTTGAATCAAGAATGTGGTTCCCATGGCTTTTAGTCTTTGTAGGAAGGTCCCTTTGCCAGAACTTAGGTCCTTTCTGGCTCACCTGGCTGAGCCTGGGTGTGTAGGCAGTTTTTGAGGGAACCACAGGATTTCCACGGTGTCTGAACTCTGGTTTGCCATTTCTCTCTGCTCACAAGCTGAGCTGGACCCGAATCTCTGTGCCCTCAATTACCTTCTTGTCACGGCCTGCCCTCTCCTAGGGCTGGGTCAGTGGCCCGGACTTCCTCCTGGGGAAGGAATCCCCTCTCTGCCTGACCCCACAACCCCCTTTTCTAGAAAAGAGACTGACAGCAGTAGGCAAGCTATCAAAGCAGAGGTGTGAACACACATACCCCATGGGTTTCTCTGGTCTGGAGGCACCTCCCCACCTTACTCCTGCCCCCATACTCTTTTCTGGAAAATATTCCAGTTCTTATTTATGCCCATCCATAGTTTACACCCCAGGAAGGCCAGTGGGGATGGGAGGACCTGGAGGCTGTTGCCTGACCAGGCCAGCTGGTCCCCACTGAGACACCCCTGGCTCATTGGCATGCCCGCCCCAGATCAGACAGCTCCTGGCCTGGGGCCCAGGTTCCTGATGCTTTCTGGTTCCTATCTTTGGTGACGTTCTGGTCATCTGTGTTCACTGCTGCCGCGGAGGCTCCTGTCACTCTTGACCCTGGGAACATTCTACCCACAAAACCCCCTCAACTGCTGCTGTCACCTGACCATCCTACCCTTTCTCAAAAGCTTACTCCACACGGTCTCCGTCCATGGCAGGAACTCAGAAGATTATTCGGCAGTGTAAACAGATGACAAGATGACAGGAGGAACATTTTTATTCAGGTAGTGAGAGGAAGGAAATGCCAGGGAGCAGAAGCTGAAGTAGCAAGAAGAGGGGGAGGAGGAAGAAGAGAAACACAGGGAGGAGAAGGAATGTGCTGGAATAAGAGGGACACAGACCTAGTGGGGATCCTGCCCTGGTACTTGAGAGAACAGCTGGTCTCTAGAGGCCTCATCTTCAGATTCCAGACCGAAGGGCAGAGGAGGAGCCTGGCAGGCCCCAGAAAGCTTCTGAATGTTAATGACACTCAACTGTACATCTAAAAATGATCACTTTTTGTAAATTGTAAATTTTATGTAATGTATGTTTTAGCACAATTAAAAGAAGAAGAAAGGAAAAGTAATGGTGCAGTCACTTTGGACAACAAAGTGTCTGCGGTTTCTCAAAAGGTTAAGCCTCGGGTGACCATGCGCCCCAGCAGTTCCCCCCACTCCTGCCCTGGCGTGTGCCCAAGAGAAACGAAAACTTCTGTCCACGTGAGAGCTTGTCCACGAATGTTCATAGCAGCATTGTCCACAAAGTGGAAACAACCCAAATGGCCATCAGTGGAAGAGTGGATGAACAAAGTGTGGTCTATCCATGTGGTAGAATGGTGCTCAGCCGTAAGGGACCAACACAGCTCAGAAACGTGATGCTGAGGGAAAGAAGCCAATCACAGAAGGCCACGTACTGTACGAATCTATTTATACGAAATGTCCAGAATATCAGCAAATCTATAGTGACAGAAAGACGAGTGGTTGCCTAGAGCCGGGAAGGGGTTGGAGGGGAAAGAGAGAGTGAGTGCTAACAGATCCCGGGTTTCTTTCTCAGATGATGAGATTGCTCTGGAATTGGATAGGGGTGACAGTTGTACAACTTTGTAAATATACTAAAACCCCCTAACTTGTACATATTAAAAGGGTGGATTTGGGCGCCTGGGTGGCTCAGTTGGTTAAGCGACCGCCTTCGGCTCAGGTCATGATCCCGGAGTCCCGGGATCGAACCCCACATCGGGCTCCCCCTTCTCTGTGGGGAGCCTGCTTCTCTCTCTGCC